ATAGATTGGCTACTATTTATGTTGATGAGATTGTCCGTTTACATGGAGTTCCGGTATCTATTGTGTCGGATAGAGACCCGAAATTTGTATCTAGATTGTGGAAGAGTTTGCAGGAAGCCATGGGGACAGAACTAAGATTCAGTACTACATTCCACCCACAGACGGATGGGCAATCAGAACGAACAATACAGACTTTGGAAGATATGCTTCGAATGTGTGCTTTAGATTTTCAGGGGAGTTGGGAAGACTATTTGCCACTTGTAGAATTTGCATACAATAACAGCTTCCACTCCAGCATCGGTATGGCACCATACAAGGCTTTGTATGGTAGAAGGTGTAGATCACCTATTTGTTGGACAGAAGTCGGGGATAGAGCTTTACTTGGGCCTGAAATTGTGCAAGACACTTTTGAGAAAATCAAAACTAGTCGGCAAAAGCTCAAAACAACACAAGACCGACAAAAGAATTATGCAGATGTTCGAAGAAGACCTCTTGAGTATGAGGTCGGTGACCATGTGTTTATTCGTGTGTCCCCAATGAAAGGCCAAGTCAGGTTTGGAAAGAAGGGCAAGTTGTCGCCCTGTTACATTGGGCCGTTCTAGATTTTGGAAAGACTTGGTCCAGTTGCCTATAGAGTTGTTTTGCCACCGGGATTTGAACAGATCCATAACGTGTTTCATGTGTCGACGTTGAGGGGTTACCTCCGAGACCCGTTTCATGTGATTGATTATCACCAGGTAGCTATAGATGAAAATATGAAATACGCTGAATGGCCGGAATGAATTGTTGATCGGCAAGTGAAACAGTTGAGAAGCAAGTCTATCCCAATGGTGAAAGTAGAATGGAAGGAACACTATGGGACAGATGCTACTTGGGAAAAATAGGAGGAAATGCGACTACGCTATCCACATTTGTTTCCTAACGAAGGTAAATCAAGTTTTGAGGACCAAACTTCCTAAAGGGGGGAAGACTGTGATATCCCCGTTCCGTAATATGCTAATTGGTCCTTAATATGAGTATGATTATGTGTCTAATATGATTTTGTATGCCATTATGTGAAAATATGTGGTTTTGAATTTCTATCTATTCACCGTAGGAATATCTGTTTGATTATCTGCTTTGGAAATTAAATTGAGGGCCTTATTAGCCACAGAACCCGAAATTGATCGCTCCATTGTGATTAATGTAATCTTTAGAGCCTACGGTGAAATTTAATTGAAAATTGATTCGAATCGGATTAAATTGATTTAATTAGTAGTGTTATGCTCAATTTATTTAATATTAAAAATTGGGACAAGTGGAGACTTATGTAGAAAGGGCACTATGCACTTAATCTTTATGCTTGAGTCCAAAAATATGATATTGTGCTCTAAAGAGAAGGGGGAGCCGAACCTAGAGAGGGAAGAAGCTCAAATTAGAGATTTTGCGAGGAAACTTGGTGATCTTGGAGCTACACTCAAGAATCAACCATAATTTGTGAGAAGTAAGGCTCCTAGGTGAGTAACCCACCCTTGATTCATGGATTTTGTTTGTAAATTGTAAATTCAAAGTTGAATGATGAGAAAGAGCATGGATTGAGTTAGTCTTGGTGAATTTAAAGTCAATAGATGCATGCATGTATGTAATTACTTTGAAATTGCATGTTTGAGCACCAAATATATGATCCATGTTAGTTTTTAGTTGAAATCCATGTATTTGACCATCTTTTCATCATATGAAATGAGAATGATGGTTATATGTCACATGCATGTACAATCCATGGGAGTAGAAGCTTGGAATGCATGAAATTGTTATGTTGGTAATAAATTTGGTGGAAAGTGAGCCATGCATGGGTTTGATCTATGAAATTGAGCTTCAAAATGTTGTAATTTGGTGTTGGTATCATGTTGGTACATGTATATGTGAAATCTGAGCCATGGCATGCAAGAAATGTTGGTTAGAGTGTTGAATTCGAGCTCAAGAACCATCCTGGAAAACCCAGAATTTTGATGTCCGCTCATGCGGGGGTTTCGAGCTCCCAGTATTTTCTTGCAGTCATGGTGTCCGCTCGAGCGGGGAGCTATGTAGGATGAACTTCTGCTCGAGCGTAAAAATGATACATCCAACACTTTTTGCAGACATGGTGTCCGCTCGAGCGGGGAAGTTCACGTTTGAGCGGGGTGCCATGTAGAGAGGCCTTCCGCTTGAATGCCAGAATGCACGCTCGAGCGTAAATTTCACATAACCAGTACTTTTGTAGGCCTCAAGGGTCCACTTGAGTGGGGAAGTCCACGCTCGAGTGGGGACCCTGTTTTCTGAAATTTTGAAAGTGTATTATGTGTTTCGTTCCCCGTTCTCCTTCACTTGCAAGCACTCTTAGGCATGGATTAAGCATTGTAATTGAGTTAAAGAGATAAGAGTGAAGCCTAAAGAGGAATATGCGAATTAAAGAACGGATTGAATCGTTTGTGACCCATATGTGCTATATGATGTGTAGGGTCAAGCTCCAGGGCAAATCCACAAGCCGATCACTGTGAGTAATATCTTAACAAGATATTTGAAATATACTGTCGTCCAATTGTTTACTTCTATGTGAGTTCATTAATTTGAATGGTGGACAACGATTGATATGAATGATTGGGCCAAAGACCGATTGACATGAATAATTGGGCCGAAGGCCGATTGATATGAATGATTGGGCCAAACGCCGATGGACATAAATGATTAGGTCAAAGGCCGATTGATCCAAGTGATTGGGCGAAAGGCCGTCTGTTGGAACTGTTTCAAAGATTGCTTATGTATCTACCTTATTTGCTATTATTCACTGGGCTTTCGCTCACGCTCATTCATGTACATGTAGGTGAGCCAAGGGACGTCCAGAAGCAGCCTCGGTGAAATTGTGAGAAATAGTTAGAGTTTTGAGGAGTCAACCCAAATGTCTCACGCACGAGATTGTCTTCACTTTTGTCCTTTGTTCATAAGTTTTTGTTATGTTGGCGAAAGCATTGGACTACTTTTGTATATAAGTCTTGGGTTCGACTGACTTAAACTTGTATGATCTTGTATGTACAATGTTCTGTGTTGGTACATATTTTGATGTGAGTTATTAATACATAAATGTTTAGAACGTGATGGTGTGTATATAAACACAGCTCTATGGACAAAGTTTTGAATTGCTTCCGTTTGGCCCCTTTACTCTGATGAGTTTTGTTTTATTTGGTTTGAGGCCGTAGGTAATCTCATGATTACTGGCCGGTTATGGCCTTAACCCATAGGGGCGGGTTCGGGTCGTGACATGGTCTCTCCCATACTCTGTCTTGAAATCAGGTTAAGGTTAGCTGGGGGTGGTCTGGTTTTATTTGTGTGGTTGCTGACTGGGTGTTAATTGCAGGTCTCTTCGGTTGGTGTGCTGGTTCTTTATTTAGGGATATGGGTTGAGTATGTGTGAGGTTACTCTATAAATGATTGAGTGAGATTGTGAGTTTGTGGGTTGAGTGACTACAGCAATTTAAACTTTATCTCACAGTTGTTATGCTTGTTTTTTGTTGGCCCTTGTTGTGTAAAGAAGCTAGGTTGAGTGATGGTGAGTTCCTATATTAGGACTATGTGTGAGGAGGGTTTTTTGTGCTATTGTGGGTTAAATGTTGTGAGAACCAATAATTAACTAATTATCTTTGGTGGAGGTACTTAGCTAATTTAGAGGAGTTATTCTTTGTGGGTTGAGTGATTGAGGCATATATTGTTGAATAGTTTTTGTGTTGTTTCTCATACATTATAGTTAACTGTTGTGTGTAGTGTTTAAGTGTACTTGAGTGTTGAGTGATGGCTAGCAGTATCATGTGAGCTTTTACAGTTAACTATTGTTGAATTGTCATACTGATTTGGTGATTGGTTGGCTCTCTTAGGATCATTTGATTGAATGATGGTGTAGCTTGCTTTTCGTGCTCGGCGGAGGGGTTTAGTCTCTTCGGATGCAATAGCCCTACAGTTCAGACTCCCATGGTTCTGAATCTAGTTTCACTAGTGCAATGTGAAATAGATAAACACAAATGAGAGTCCAATCTGACAAATCTTAGAAAAATCCATTTAATCATCAGAGATGCTAGAAATGGACTGCATTGCCAGATTTCAGAGTTGTCACCTAAATATTTTTGAAAAATTTAGGAAACCCGTGACTCATGCCAAAGGCCACTTGTTTGTCATAACCAAAGTGTCTCGGCTCGGGAACTTAGGTATGAGAGGGGAAGGTCATGAATTGAGCATCCACTCACCCGATCAAAGATCGGCCTCTACTAATCATGATGTGAATCTTATGTATAATATATGCTCATGTTCTGATTATTATGCTAACTTTACTATGCGAGGCACACAAGTATAGACTATTTCTCCCACTTCGGAATGATTTGATTTTATGTTTGTTTGAAAAGAGTTTTGAATATGTGCCACTTGAAAAAGTGAGCTCATACATACATTAATTAAAAGCATCCCAATTTAAGCGAAAAAGCCTTCATCCACGGACATTCAAATGGGTATATCAAATAAGATACAATGATAAAAGAAAAATAATGTTAATTTTTAGAAATTAGTGTTATATTGTGATTATTTAATATGTTAGAATGATATATTCATATATGACATATAATAAATATATAAAACTATATATTATGTGCGTGTCCTTCACGTGTTGCGTCTTGTATTTTTTGAAAATTGTTGTATCAGCGTGTCTGTATTGTATTTGTGGTGTCACATGTTTGTATCCATACTTATTAGGTTGCCATGTTTAAACCCTAAAATTCTACTCTTTATCTCTCTCTCTAAAAAAAATTATGGCCACTAAATAGTTTTTCATCGCTGCCCCATATTAGTTTTAGGCTCATTACCAGTAGGACAGTCCTCCCCAAACTCATTCTAAATTATCATCCGTGCGTGTTGACTTTTGCTAGACAAAAGAGTTTGAGAAATAGTATTATTGTCTCCATGAAAATAGAACATGTACTTTTTTGCTAAGCCAAAAAAAAAAAAAAATTTAATTTTTGGCTGGCAGAGTGTAGCTCACATGTGTTCATTTTGCTTAAGAAACTCGTGTTGCTTCTGTCTGTCTGTCTCCCTTCTAGTAAAAGTAAGCCTCTAATCCAATTGTTGCTGTTGGTTGAATGTATATTTTAATTAATTTTTTTCCTTGAAATTATATGTAACCTCTTCTATCAGTTTGTTTGTATCAGCTCTAAAAATAAGTAAATATTGGTTTTTTTGGATATCCTTTTCTTTCTCACTCTACCCCTTTTTTGTTTTTTGTTTTTTTATCTTTGGTGGCTGGGGAGGGGCAAGGGCCGAAACGCTGTTATATATGTGGCTGATTGTGTTGGGTTTAGTGATGGATAGTAGGGATTTTGCTTTACTTAAACAAATATAGTCCTTATGCAATGTAATCAAATTCACAACTTTTGCCTGCAGGTTGCCACTGGGCAAGTTGCTAGCACTGGAATGGTTGCTATGAGCTATGTTCAGAAAGTATCTGAGAAGGTAAGGGAGTTGAGTTGTTCAATGATTTCTGCTGATTAGTTATCCTTGCACGGTTCTCTAACTGCTTCCTTCCATGTAGGTTTCTTTGGCATCAGAATTCATGTACAACTACATGTCAAGAGATGTGACGGCAAGCGTAGGTTATGATTATATTCTCCGACAGGTGACTTCTGCTATTGCAATTGATAATGTCTGTGCCATCTAGTTATTTACAAATTTGTAGACACATCTCTTGAGGGCATATTTTCTATATGCATTTCAAGTGTGTTTGGTTATTAGTTTAAATGTTTTTGTTTGTGATTTTTTCCCCCCGGAAACTATGTGGACCAGATAAAGAACCTGAGGACCTTTGTCCTGCTCCTGAATATTTGGTTACTGTCTGTCTAGGTCTGTTACATGGACTCAGTGTCGAGTGCAGGTATGTATCTAGATGTCGGACTCATCAAACAATAAATTTAAGGGTATGCTGACTCGGCAAAAAAATGTCATATTTTTATATTTTTAATCAAGTATGTGCGATAAAATGGTACTATATGTAACTTATAGTGTCAAAAAGACATTTATAACAATTATACAACAATATGTAGATATAATAATAGTGTTATTGTCAAGCCACACTTTTTATTACTCGGAATTTATTACCAAAGCCATTAACAATGGATTCAATTTCAGAGTTAGCATACAGAAGCTCATTATAATGACAAGAAATACAACAATAAGGGTTCTCTCATACGGACATAAAATGAATGCAATATGAATTATAATTAAATAAATTGCCTGCAGGCTTACATCTTAAAAGGAATAGATAAAAGGGCTCAACCCTTTTTACACATATGGCATTCCGCCTACAAATAAAGGCCCCGCGGCCAACAGATAAGAAGATCCATGACCTTGAAAGGACTTCTCCATGTTCACCTGAAAAAAGATTAGCAACGGGGTGAACATATAGTTCAGTAGGGATCTCAACATGATCCTCAACAATAACAACTTATAGATAGCTATGATCATGAATGCTAATCTCATACCATATAAATAATGTGACGTTTTATAGCCAAAGTATACTTACATAAACACTTCTCAAAAACATTTAGTTTATTCAACAACATTTTGATTTGCGTTTACTACCCATTTTCCCATCTAAACAATTATCACACGATAACCGTATTTTCCAATTATGATTGAAAACACCACCTAATATCCATTTTGTTTGAAAACACTCTCATCAAATCTGATTCCTTCACATTATTCATGACTCAAATGCAATTATAGTCCGTCTCTACAAGTTTATCACATTCTCAAACTTAGACTCAAAACTTAAAGAATTGCCTTCAATAGAATCACTTATAGTGGGTGCTCTCTCAACCACTCACTAGCACGTCCAAACTTACATGAACACATCTACTCAACATATAAGACAATTTAATCTAACAAAATCACAATCGTCATAACACATGATACACACAATCAAACTGAAAACAACAATGATAAATAAACTCTGCTCTACCAGCCCGAGGCATGGTAAGCCAATGATACATCTCTCCACCATAACATGTTATTTTACCAGACACCAGCTGGAAGGGAATGGTACCTCTGCCAATTCTCTAGGCGCTAGCTGAAAGGTAATGGTACCTCTGATTCTCAGCACATTACACATTTCTTTCCAACCATCACTTTAAATCACATTCACAGATAACAGAAGTGTACTACAGACACATAATCATTTCAACATTTCACAATGTCATCCTCCACTGATGACCAAGGACAAAACCTCTAACCGTATACATTAAACACATAACACCCTTAACTCTTTCTCATGGAACTTTGAATCCAATTACAACAGTAGCAAAACAAAACATATCCGCGATTCAATCTTTGGTTAATTTCTGAAATTTACACAATGATAGTGTTTCATTTTTCCTTTTCAAAATCAATTACCTCATCCTTCCACATTCATATTCTCCACCCTTTGCCTCAACCCATTTATTTCATTTAGTTTCTTTTCACAAGAGAGTATGACCAACTCACATTCTTTCATTTTAGAATAATGATTTCATTTATAACTAACAAGGTTAATATTCACTTAATTTCTATCCATCGGTAATGTAACCCCACAACATTCAAATCTCATGATTAAATTCCTCTTTTACAATTAACAACTTATCAATTTGCTAGACTTAACTAAAATCAACTCAACACAAGTTAAATACTAAAATTTATGAGAACCCGGTTTAATCACAAGTTATTGCCAAGTCAGTAATCAAATCCTTAATTCATAACATGATAAATTCATCATTTAAATTGCTAATTTCATAACATGCTTAACCCACAATAAAAACCATTTTTGACAAATGAGCAAGTTAATTAAAAATTAGGGCTTCACTTCCCTCTTTACATAAACAAGCTAAACTACAACTCAAAATTTATCCAACAACAATAAACTCCCAATTTACAACCTCACACAACTCATCTTGAACCCCCATTCATGATTTTCAAAAGAAAATCCATAACAACAAGGTTTTTATGCAATAAGAACATACCACATGTCTATCTATAGGTGAAGCATTGAACAAAATCAAGGAAATCCCTACCTCAAGAGAGAAGAGGAGAAAGAGCCCAAAAATCGACCTCGCCGAAATACGATCTCCACTGGTCAAGACGAAGCCCTCGACACGCTCATCATTTTGGTATAAGGGACTAGCATCAAAATCCCAATGGGTTTCTTGAGATCAAAGAAGATGAAATGTTTTGTGGGTTTGGGTAGAGAGAGAGAGATACAATCAGATATGGAGGAAAAAGGGCCAAAAAGTGCAAAATATAGCTGAAAAACACGAAAAACGGAGCAGAAAATGCACTTGGCCGCATGTGTGGCGCCCACTCCCGCACGTGCCGAGCGGCCTTCCGCACGTGCGGCTCCCACTCCAGCACGTGTGGCTTCCCCCACGCCTCAGCTCACGCACTTGCCTTTTAAGTAGTGTGCTCACAGCCCAAGCCCTAGCTTCCCACACGTGCGGTCTGGTCTCTCGCACGCGCGGCCTCCTTCTCGTACGTGCGGCCTTGGCCCTCTTGTTCGGAAAGACTTCGGCTTCTTCCCCTATCCGCCGGTGCCAACCCCGCATCCTCCGCGACTAGTGAAAACTCGAAATTGAAAGAAACAAGATTGAAATTTTGAGGAGAAGTTCTCAGAAATAACGAATCGAACTGTTGACAAAAACACATTTTTAAAACCCGCCATCTAACAACGAGAATTCCAACATAACCTCAAGAGAGCAAAGCAAAATATGCACCGGTCATCACAACCTCCCCACCTTAGGAAATTTCGTCCCCGAAATTAGGCAACACCAAAATAAAAGCTAACACTTCAAAAAGGAAAACACGGTACCAAAGAAGACCCCTCAACGAACCAAGAAAACACAACACTAATTCCCGACTACAACCAAACTTGGAATACTTTCCCGACTTTGGGTTCAACACCCTAGAATGCCAAAGACACCTGAATCAAGAAGGACACCAAGAAAGGCTCACGGACTTCCCTCAACTCACACCACTCACTGGGTCTATGAGACAAGAACAACAACAACCACGGCAACAACACGCACCCCTAAAGCATCCACCACCACATGCCCCAAACACTCCCGAGCGCTTAACATCCCAACACGGAAAAGAATAAGGTTTACACTACAAGACCTTCGGTCAACTCACCCCAAAGGAAGGATCACAACAACATCTATCCTAAGGAAAAGCTTTGGCATAACAAGCCCATCAATCGACCCACATAACTGAACACACAAGTCCAAAATTAGCAATTCAATTAAAAAGGTTTTACATCTCATCCATAAAGGGATAATAACTAACAATCCAACCCCCAAAAAAAAAAAAAAAAATTCAACTTTTCTTAATTCTTCATAAAAATCATTTCTTTACGTATAAAACATTTGCTCAAAGGTGTTCAAAACCCACACCAATCAAAGCCAATTACATTTTCTGTCATCAAGTAAGATCTAAATTTCATTTATTTCCAATTCCGTTCCAACATAACAACCGGCGAATCTCTGCTTTCATCCAACAACACCCATCACCCACATGATGATGCCACAACCAACATCAGCATAATATTTCAACAATCATAACTAACAAAGGTAACAACCATGCATTTCAACACAAAAAATTACCATCACACCCTTTCATTCGGTCAAGACCACTATCATTATTACCGTGCAAGTCATGACCCATAAAAGATAACGAAATGGTCACATAACTAGTTAAAATGAGGATTGTTCACATTATCTTAAATGAAAACTCTTTTCCAAAATTCACTTAAATTGACCCTGTTTTCCAACAAAAGATTTATGCAATAACCTTCATGTAAAACCAATTCATTTTGCAAACATTTTCCCAATACATACCTTAAAATTTCACGCCAAGGGTTTTTGTTGTAAAAAAAAATAATAAATAAACCATGGAAATTTTCAAAACCATGATCACCTTTCAATTTTATTTTATCAATAACACCCGGTGAATCCCCATCATCACCCAATCACATCCATCACACTTACAGTGTTTTCAAAATAAGACAATCACATTTCTATAACCACATCAAATTGAAATAATCATGGTGTTAAAAGAAATTGTGTAACACACATAACTTTCCAATCCCCGAAAGTTCCGTACCAACACAAACATCAACCGAAAAGGACCAACGACACCTGAAGGCCTATGAGTATTCCCAACCGAGAAGCTAACACTTTACCTCGATTCACAGGCTTCAAAAACTTACACAGAGATGTGCACACCGATAACCATACACATACGCAAGGCTCAACGCCCTAAGCACAACCCACGGCACCACGCTGCCTTCTAGCCAAATTTGTCCAACAACATCTAAACCACATCTAAACCATTCTACAGTGACTATTTGTCACCCACCTTGATACCGATCAACTTAACTGATCACCCGAGAGTTTCCGCTCCCGGTCTTCAAACACCTACATATCATTCCCAAAGGAATTCTACAAACATGCCTAGATGGCCAACACACACTTATACCCAACACAAGACTGAGTAGGTCAACGGCGATCACACGATTCGGGTTACCTAAGACAATTCTTACCAACGTTACACTCGTTACCTAAAAACACAAACCATTCATCACTCCTTCGAGATGCGAATCTCACACTCCCTTAGACATTCTTACATCACTTCCCCAATCTTCACAAAACTCTAAAGTCTCACACTTCCTCAAACTTAACACAATCAAGCTTTTAAAATTTTGGCCCTCATCCTAACATTATGCTAGTCACAAAAATTCCGCAAATTTCTCAATCCCCACCAACAATTTCTAAACTAGTCAAGAATCAAAGGCTATCACATGGCCATTTCAAAATTCAACAGTCGATATACAACAATATTAGGATTACCAAT